CGAGGCAAGGACTTCCATCAACACTCTTGCCACTAACGAGCATTTTAAATCACGATTTATCCAGTACAGGAACAGGATAATTGAACTGTCGTCAGACCAACACTGTGAACCGTTTCATCCTCTAGTCATAAGTTACAACCTGATAGACGTCAATGATGGGGTTTGCTGGTCCCTCAAAGATCGTGCATTCAAAGAGAATCCCATTGAAGACTACCAAGTTGGAAAAGCATCATTTACAGAAGTGATCATCCATGAGGCAGACAAGAAAACCCTCCACGTGGCTAACTGGAAAATTCTAACGCAGGAAGGATATACCACTCACAACAATAAGTATCTGACCGCTAAAGCATTCCTCAACAAGTGCCCAATGCTAGTGGTTGCGCAGTGTAGGCTTGATTTCGGTTCTGCTGACCAGCCAGCAATCGTTAGACATCTGCACACATATCATTTCAAGAGCCTCCTAAATCCCAAAAGAAAGGCCGCAGCTTGGCTGAGAGAGCACGCCACTGAATGCGTTGTCTGGGCTGCTGAGAAGGCAAAAATGTGTGACGATGACAGCAAGGATGAAAACAAAACCAAGAATGACAATGATGACGTAGATGGCGAAGAAAGCCTTTTGAAGGAGATGGAAAAGGAAGCCCTTAGGTTGCTGTCATTTGTGAATCCCCCGGCCACTGGCGAGATTATCTCACATTTTCGACTGGCCAAAAAGAGGACCATAATGATGATGATGCTAAAAGTAGCACCTCGATCGACAGTCTCGATTTGTTGAGGAAAGCTGTAACCTGATCGCACTTAGTCTATGACACAGGCAAGTGCAGCACATGCTGATGAAAGAGGAGAAGAAACGAACTGAGCAAGGAAAGAGAAACAGCAGCACCTGTAGCAAAAATCAGTGCTGAGGAAGAACAGAGTGAGCACCCAGAATGCCGAGTTGCTGCCACTAGACCCCACCAAGGAGATGTCCACCCCAACTGTCCTTAATCTGGAAGAGAATTGCAGAGCCCAGAGAGCACACCTGGTATAGCAGGGCCACAAGAAGGCATGTTTAGCCTTTGCTGGTACTTTGCTGCGGCCAAGAGAGACGAAACTTGAAGAGTGTCAGGAAAAGTAGAGTTGAACAGACTCTAGGTACTCTCTAACAAGCTGAAGCTCCACCATCAGAATCTTGGGACCTTCAACACGGAGAAGGCCATGGTGGACATAGGAAAGTCTGCATGGAGCTGGGAATTCTGCGCAAAGCAGACCAACTCATGATATGGAACGTGACGGAACCCTTGCTAAGACCGACAGAAGAGCAAGGTGACAGAAGCCAAAGTGCGTTCTGAGGATGACAGCGCCAACGAGGTGTTTACCCGGATTCCTAGCTACCAGACGAGCCACTTGGAGTTTTTTAAGGACCCGTCAGGGCGAGCAGCAACTTTTAATAGGGTGGACACAAACATCATTCCATGGGGAAAGAAAAAGATAGTCAAGTACAAGAACCCTTGAAAAAGAGAAAAGGTGTGTTGAGACGTTTTTTAAGTTCACTCAAACCAATATTTTGTTGTCAGTGGTTACTGCTAAAATCGTATTAAATGTAAAATATACACTGCATGCCTTGAATTAAGAACTTAAAAAATCTATCTTTTCATGTAGAATTTTTGCTGGCACTTCACATAAGAACAGCTTCAAGTGTCTCACGTTTTGGGACGTCGCATGATGTTATAATACTTCCTAATAGTTTTTCTGCATCTCGTGTTTTTTTGTGGGTAATGAATACTACATAATGGATAATGGGAGTAAAAAAAATGAACGAATATTTGGGTTTGGAAAATCAGGAATAATGAATAAAACATTATTTTGTTTATTGTATAAACACCAATGAAATACCAGGTGAGCTTTCGCACCAAAACATGATATCTTCAGATGTGAAAATAACATGCTATCTTCACACGTGAAAAGATAACCGTTGCTATGGTTACACCATAAATAGTGCCTTTCACTGCAAAAAACTATTAGTGAAATGGTTTGGTATTTTTCATAGATGTTTATATAATAAATAGAACATTACATGGCCGCTTGGAGATACAAAATTTCTCATCTTATGTTGAAAAAATATTTCATGTTTCAACACTGGAAGAGGAATTTTGTATCTCTGCATGGCCATGTTATCTCCTCTGTTTCTGTGCTTCCTGATACATTTTCGATTATGTTACGAAATTTTTGTTTTCGTAAAATCAACCGCCAATCTGCAAAAGAAAACCACCTAGGCTACAAATGACTCCTTCCGGTTTGAAACTTCACACTAGGACTATTTTAGAATTTGTCAGACAACTTACACGAAAATAAATGGTTTTGTCCGGTCTGTCAACGTTTAAGCAGTTTGACATTTGATTCACGTGGACTGGTGTCGCAGCTATTTGTGTTGGTGTGTTGACAGTGTGTGATGGTCGGTTTATCAAGGTGTAATTGGAAAAAGCAAGAAGTCAGAGAAAAGAGAGAAAAAGAGAAGTTGTTATTGACGGTAAGGCGATTTAAGTCTACTTTGTTTTGTTGTATGGAGCCATCCAGTTCTTTTGAAACCTAAATGATTTGAGAAACATTTTTTATGCAGCTCACGTTCCAGGACAACTGAAGAGATAACACTATACATACAAGCAGTGAAAGCTAGAAGGAACGTAAAGGGAATGACTGGAAGAAAATCCTTGGGTTTTCGTAAAACAAAAAAAAAAGAATTACAAAGCCGACACGTCAAGTTAAGTTTTTTTCTTGTGAAGTCGAGTACACTCTGTGAAGCTAAAAGAACACTAACTTGCGGTAACCTACTTAGATCTAAAATAACTGGTAGTATCTTCTTGTCTATGACAGTTCTCGGCATTGATCATTGCACTGATGGTGGGTAAGTAACGAGCACGTAATAAGCTACACCTTAAGGTGACTCGACCCAGTTTTTTGGGGGGGTACCATCCTACTTTGAAGCTCTCTGGTATCCCCACCTTTACTTTTATCGTAAGTCTAACACATAGAATGGATAACATATAGATCAATCTACAATATAACATAAAATTTTTGGTGATCGGAGTAAATGTCACGTGGTTATAATGCCACGCCCCTTTGAGGTCTGAGTCGAAAATCGGCTGTTGCCGGCATTTTTTTGTGAAAATCTCTCGGCTACACAAAGTGCGCATTAGTGCCTTGCGCTGAACAGAGTTTCACCAAAATCGCAAAGACCCAATTCGAGAAATTCAGCGGTTTCCAAATTTAGGTCATAATTTATGCGAAAATGATAAGCAAACTTTACACGGATTATATATATTAAACTATGAGATTCATCCCTTTATTTTGGGCATCGTTATAACAGATGGGTCCTTGCAAGTCAGCAAAACGCTTTAGGGCCTTGTAAATGCGCGCGATTTCGGGCAAAGCAAACATATAGAAACTATAGTTTTCGCTATTTGTTGACGTTTGTCAGAGTTTAAGAGTCCTTCTCACGAAAAAAGCATTTTCTTAAAAATTCGTAGTTTTTTTTCCTTCAAATTTTTTCAGGGCCACAATTGATTAACTAACTACCCGGACTCTGAATTTCATGGTCATTGAAAAACTGTAACATTATCTTCTATAAGCCCAAACTTGAGTAAACATTGAATATTTTTAGCGTTTTGGCTGAGTTTGTGCTTTGGGAGTTGTCTATTGTTTCTAGTCTGTCATTATACAGCATTCTTGTTCAGCACGCGTGCAATGACCACGCTTGGCTGACTTCCGAATGCTCACCGAGATATTCCCGTCACGAGTTGGTTTAATTATTGGCTTGCATTAAACGTATGAAAAAATGATATTTTTTTAATAGTAAGTAGATTTAGTGTGTAGCACTTCTTGAATTTTTTGCAAGGACACAAGAAGCACGAGAATTGATGAAAAATTGTTAGTTAAACCTCTATGTATCACGCGATGGGCTGTCTCACTGTACCAAAATTATAACATATTGGTGAGCATTTGGAAGTCAGCCAAGCGCGGTCATTGCACGCGTGCTGAACAAGAATGCTGTATCATGACAGACTAGAAACAATAGACAACTCCCAAAGCACAAACTCAGCCAAAACACTAAAAATCTTCACTGTTTACTCAAGTTTGGGCTTATAGAAGATAATGTCAGTTTTTCAATGACCATGAAATTCAGAGTCCGGGTAGTTAGTTAATCAATTGTGGCCCTGAAAAAATTTAAAGGAAAAAAACTACGAATTTTTAAGAAAATGCTTTTTTCGTGAGAAGGACTCTTAAACGCCAACAAACGTCAACAAATAGCGAAAACTATAATTTGTATATGTTTGCTTTGCTCGAAATCGCGCGCATTTACAAGGCCCTAAAGCGTTTTGCTGACTTGCAAGGACCCATCTGTTATAACGATGCCCAAAATAAAGAGATGAATCTCATAGTTTATTATATATAATCCGTGTAAAGTTTGCTTATCATTTTCGCATAAATTATGACCTAAATTTGGAAACCGCTGAATTTCTCGAATTGGGTCTTTGCGATTTTGGTGAAACTCTGTTCAGCGCAAGGCACTAATGCGCACTACGTGTAGCCGAGAGATTTTCACGAAAAAATGCCGGCAACAGCCGATTTTCGACTCAGACCTCAAAGGGGCGTGGCATTATAACCACGTGACATTTACTCCGATCGCCCAAAATTTTATGTTATATTGTAGATTGATCTATATGTTATCCATTCTATGTGTTAGACTTACGATAAAAGTAAAGGTGGGGATACCAGAGAGCTTCAAAGTAGGATGGTACCCCCCCAAAAAAAAACTGGGTCGAGTCACCTTAAAGAAAGCTCTCTTTGAATCAAAGAACACTTATGTTCTCCAGTACTATAATGAGTTCAATCTTCTGCCAGTAGTCAATGACAGAGACTTGAGATCTTGTTTGTGCTATTTCTTGGCCAATTCAAATTGTCCATATGTTTGCGGGATATATCTTGAGAAGATTTCTAACACAGAGGAGGGTTTTAGAGCTCGTATGGAGGTAACTGCAGTACAAGTTTCCTGTACTAAAGAACTCTCTGAAAATTTAAACACCAAAAAGTAAAACTGAAGAAAAAAAACCGCATTAACTGAACATCTTGGCTGCAGTCAAATCAATTTTCACATGGTAAAGGAGCAACCCACTTTTTCAATGTTATCGGTGGTCACAGGCAAGGATACCAGGCAGATATAAGCATGTCACCAGCTTAGTGAATTGGAAGTCACAATTTTGCTGGTCTTCCGGCTTGGGCCATTTCAGTTGTGAGGCCAATTCCCCTTGTGATCAATGGTGTTAAAATTCATGACGTATCTCAAATATTTTTACAGTTAAAGGGAACTTATGTGGTCAGTTTAAAAAGGCAGAGTTTAGTTGGTTTTCTTCTTGCTACGGCAAGTGATGCAATGGCAATCAAACCAGGTCTTCAGGTTTCTCAGCAGGATAATTGTATTATTCAGCTCAAGGACCTGCCTGCGATGTTGGCAGATGAAGTTAAAGAACTGTTAGTTAAGTCAGACACAGGTAAAAAAATTCGACACCCAAGCCCTAGACATCCACCTCACTTCAATGGAAAGTAGTGTCTTGACCAGTCACTGTGTCTTACAGAGTTTCGCAAGGTGGATGGCAAGTTGTATAAGATGTGTCACAGAGTGAAATAGGGTGTTTCCGCAATTCGGAAACGTTGCAGAAACCTGATGGTTCAAAATTCCGTTGCGTTTCCACAGGACGGTTTCGACAGGAAATGTGTAAGATGAAAATGGAGGCATTTTTTTGTGTTTCTGCAGCGCTTCCGTTGACTTAAACATGTCAGCTCGTTTCCATCGCGTTTCCACAAACGGTTTTGTACTGAAATTTGCTGGTTTTCATGATCAATCCCTGGTTTCTCATATAATAATTGTTTTAACTGTACTGATTACGCTTCAGGCAAGATGAGGAATCATTCACATTGACCTAAAATATCCGAAAGAACAGAGATAATTGCCTCCGCTAAACTACATGTCGTAAATACTGGAAAAGTGGTAGATTATTCCCTCTGTCTTCCTTTTCTAAGAGATTCAAAGATGTGTTATTAAAATTATTAGCACTCCAAACATTGACGCGTAATTTGAAACAATCTAGAAACAGCAAAATAAATTACAAATGATTTATTAACACGCTTGCACGCATTTTGCCTCGCTCTGGAAGCGCAAGTCTTATGAGCATGTGTGCCTCGTTTTCACGCTGAATTTTGAATCGCGCGCCCTTTTGCACATTCTTCGCTGTCGGTTCGCCTTCCATTTTGGTGGTTTGTACATGCAGGACCGTTTTTTGGCGAAGATGAGCGAGGAGAGGGTGGTAGATTGCAGAGATAGACTGCAGGGAGGAATAATAGTTCGAAAAACTATTTAAATAAAATGCCAAATCCCATGGAAGCGGTGATGAAGGAGTTCAGTGTTCACTCTTGGCGACTCAAATGCACACTGAGTGTTTCAACAACCATTGAGAAGAAAGAACGCCTATTTTAAACTGTGGATCCTTGTTGTTTCGTAAGTACAATCTGAATCTTGTTTAAATATAATAAAGAATCATATTTAAGTCTATTTAATAGCTTTGGGAGCATTTCATCGATGTTGATCATAAAAATCGTTTCACATGTGAGCTTACATAAGCTTACATCTTTCATGCTACAGCGAGTTGCTTCCTACAGATCTGACCTTTGTATGTTGCCTGTAGTTTCTTTGATAACACATTCCTGTAAAGCACATTTGTCTGATTTCTTTTGCAATAAAGACATACCAGTAGTTGCTGCTTCACCGATAAAGAAGTTTTCTGTATACTAATGCACATTTTAATGGCAAAGATGGCAGTCGTAAAACATTGAATCTCAAATGAGGAAACGGAATCACGGATAGGAGTACGGAATCAAATATCAATGACAGAAAAATATTTCTGAGACTGTACATGTTAATCACAAGGATAAACCTGTACGAAAATAATATTTAACGTTCATATTAATTTTTTGCATATTTCCTTACTAGATGCCAAACGACATATGCAATTTGCAGGGACCAATGGAAATTGTTCAAAATTGAAATAACTGTAGTGCTTGTTACAAGACTTGCAGGGTTAAAAGAAACCTTTTCTCTTTGTGTACGTGCACAATAACAAGGTTAATATGATGGTGCAGGAAGGTTCTACAGGTCACAAGATTATAGAGGAATATCATTTCCTTACACTCCAATTTGTCATTAAGCTTTGAACACAAGAATAACAGTTTTATTTGATGACAAAGCAACCTTCATTGACACAAGTAAGACGCCCATCCTTGAGTGGGAAGTCACAATTCTATTTATCCATCTTTGAGTGGACAAAGTAGTGCTTGTGTCAATGATATTTCAAATGTTGCAACAGTCACCAGGAGATAAACAAGAATATTATTCAGGAATATAATGTCCTTACACTTCAATTTGTCGTTAAGCTTCGAACACAAGAATATATGTAACAGCTTTATTCGATG